TCTACTGTGCAGTGCTGGTAGCAGCTTCACAGTACTCCACAAGGGGGCTCCCTCTGGTACAGGGGAAAATCCAACATTGGAAATTACGTTTAAATAAATAAATATCCGGGTAACATCGGGTTATCAGCTAGTATAATATAATATCAAGGAACAGTTTAGAATGCCAGATCAACTATAAAGTAACACATCTCAAAATTCTTGTGATGATCAAACGAAGGAAAACCCACCTTTTTCCATCTTGGCAACCTAGGTCACTGGAACCGGCAGCGACCTAGGCCTGCTACACGCCCAAACCGGTTCTCTCGACAGCGCCATAGGTGACGCCATCTTGTTTTTGCTTTCTGTGCATGCGCAGAGCAATTAGCACTGTGCGTGCATGTGTGGGTGCGTGCGGGGCGCATCCCTGAGCGAACCGGCAGTAGCGGCAGCGGGAAACCATCCCTGAGTAAGAAGTTCAGAAAAGAAAAAATATATTAGATGGGCATAGATGAATTGGACCTCGTAATAAAATAATAATAATAATGCAAAACCATTGGCCTTTATTTCCATCAAATTCATGCGTGGATTGACTGCACCATTCCAGCAATAATACCTTCAATGGACTCCCCTCTTCACATCATGAAATGCTTCTGAAATTCAGTCAGTAACTTAGCAAATTATGTAGGAAAATGGTGCTTGCTTGTTGATACCGGTGGATGATAGTCTGGGGATTATTATTTCAGTCGACATACTGTACTTTAACATCTGGTGTGCTTGGCTGAAAGGCAGATGTGGTCCCATCCATGCGGTTTTAATTTGGAGAGAGGAAGGGGCACATTAAAGGGATAAGGAATTACAGAACAAAATAAGCATTTAGTGGAGAACCTACGCCGATGACCAAGTTTAAAGAAGGAAATTTGGAAAGAGTTCATAGAGATCTGTTTTCATTCAATGCTATCAGATACTTTTCATTTACGTGTGTCCTTAAAAAGGGCCTCAATTAATTGGGTCGTAGATTATAAATGTTTTTATACAACTTGCAGATGGTAAATGGTGTTTTGGGGGAGCTTTTCTCTCTGACACAGAGAGGAGTGTGTGGTTTTTAATCACAGGATCTAACAATGCACAATGCTTTAACTAAAATCTGAATGTCTCTTCTGCTTCTGGACGATTGGATTTATATATTGGTAAAATTAACCAACAGGGACCTGGTGGCTCAGGGGCTAAGATGCTGAGCTTGTCAATCAGAAAGGTCGACAGTTCGGGGGTTCGAATCCCTAGCGCTGCGTAATGGAGTGAGCTCCTGTTACTTGCTCCCAGCTTTTGCCAACCTAGCAGTTCGAAAGCATGTAAAAATGCAAGTAGAAAAATAGGGACCACCTTTGGTGGGAAAGTAACAGTGTTCTGTGTGCCTTCGGCGTTTAGTCATGCCGGCCACATGACAACGGAGATGGTGTTGGCTCTTCGGCTTTGAAATGGCAGGGGGCGGATATGAATAGATGTGGCAGAGGAGAGGAGAGCAGTGGAAATCTATGGGCNATATATATATATAATACGACAAAAATGGTTTTTGCTTAGTTGCTCACATGTTACACTTGTGTTGATGAAAGAACATGATTATTTCCAAATGTCTTTAAGTCGTAATCCAAAGCGGCCTCCTCTAACATGGCCATAAGGTTTGGATTCTCCGACCCGCATAATTAGACAGTGTTGACAAACATGGAATCCAGAATGGGACTTCCTCTGAAAGTTCTTGGGGACAAGGAGGCTGAACTGAACTGATGAGATAGCAGAATGATGGCTAACGTTTTTAAAACTGCGCCCATAATGCAATGTGTGTGTGTGTGACACACTCTCCCGCGCTCCCCGCCCCTGCACTTGTGCTCGTGGCCCCCTTGTGCTCCCCCTCCCCCTGCACACATAACCCCCCCTGTGCTCCTCCCCCCCCAGCGCATGTGTGCGTGACCTCACCCTCACGCCGTTTTGGGCCTAGTAGGCCTCTCTGTAGCCTTCTGGGAGCAAAAATGGGCCGCAGGGGGGGGGCAAGCCGCACCTCCCGCACCCCCCCGCATCCCTCTCACTCCCCTGCACTCCCCCTTCATCCCCCCGCACTCCCCCCACCTTTCATGCATGCATGCGCGATCCTCCTCCCACGCCTGCGCATGCGTCTCCCACATGCAGCCCGCTCCCCCTGCACATGTGCGGCAGAGACCTGAAAATCAACTGGCCGGCAGGAGCCATGCGTCCATATGCAGTGGAGTTGAGCCAGGGTGACATCTCATGTGCCCGCAGAGAGGGCTTTGCGTGCCACCTGTTGCATGCGTGCCATTGGTTCCGCCATTATGGAAACAGCACAATGTTTTCTGAAGATATCTTATTTTAACCAGATTTCTGTCTCGACTCTCTGTCCCGTTCCCTCTCTCCCATATGCAGAAGAATAAAGGAATAATCACCCTTGATGACATCAAAAATCCAACCCAGAAGCTGATTTATAATTTAACCATTCCAGATGCCTCCGTGAAAGACAGTGGCGATTACGAGTGTGCTGTCCGACATGTGACCAAAGATTTTAAGAAAATGGAGAGAATAGCCATCTATGTTCACGGTAGAGTTTGCTTCTCTTTTTCACGCTTTCAGTCATGGGAATGGCAACAGGGGTAGTCATGGAACTATTGTCTTCCTACAGATAAAGGGTTCATCGATTTGAAACCTCTTTTCAAGCCCACGGAAGCCCTCAATCTACATGAAGTGAAAAACTTTGTGATTTATGTCGACGCATACCCAGAGCCGAAATTGCTTTGGCTGAAGGACAACGTCACTCTGATGGAGAATCTCACAGAGATTGTAACCAGTTCCAAGCAAATCAATGAAACCAGGTAAAGGGACAAGTCCGTCATAGATTGATGGGTTTGTTCACCATTTAATTCTCCATTTGAGAAAGAAAGTTTCTTGTCAGAAATTATTTACTCTCCCTGCTGAATAATCCTCATTCTATGATACACCTCTCTGAAAATTTTCTCTAGTTCTCAGTCTACATCAGAGGGAGTCAACCTTTTTATACCTACCGCCCACTTTTGTATCTCTGTTAGTAGTAAAATTTTCTAACCGCCCACCAGTTCCACAGTAATTGGTGATTTGTAAAGTAGGG